TAGAGCTGAGTTCTGAAGTTGCTCCACACCATTCCCTGTTGCCCCACAAACGGAGTCCCAGCAGAACTACTGAGTCTGATGCCTGGGAGAGTTTATTTTTCACATTTTTTTTTCACATTTCAGCTTGATGCAACCCAGATTGCTAACCCTATAATTACCAGAATTAAAATGTGTGTGAATGCAAATTTCTGTGATTTAGGCTTTGCAAAAGGCTCTGGTGCTCCCTGGAAAGCTCATCTTCGTGCATGCAGAGTGCTAATCAACACAGATGATGAGTTAATGGCAAAACTTTCAGCTGACAGTTACACTGAAGATGACAGGTTCTAGGGTATTTTAGAGAAGCTCTGTTGGTATCATTAAGATACAAGAATTACATTACTTTAGAGGTGGCTAAGTGGTGCTAATTATGACCTTGATAATGACAATCAGTCTTCTAGGAATAATGCACTCTTTGCTTACAGCACTTAGGTTCTATTTACCTTTCAAAATGCACTCATAAAACAAATAGATAACTAAAAAAACCTGTACTATGCACACAGATGTAGAACAGATAATTTATTTTATTTTTACAAAAACAATTTATTTTAATGCTAGAGATTTACCCTATGTTTGTGTTCTAATTTTTGGATGCATTGGCAAAATAAGTAACATTGAAATCAGGAAGGAATGCAAAATATCTGTGTCTTTCACAACAATTATAACTGCTTTTACTCATCTTTTGGGGTATTGAGCAGACACAAAATAACACTTAACTGTGACTCTTGATGGCATGACCTGAGAAGTTTGACTTCCTCACATTAACAGCTGGTAAAATTGAAAAGCAAAAGACTGGTAGTACAAGAAAGAACTTGGTGGACTTGGACACTTATTTTTGGATACTTTTCTTCTTCATGTTCTTTCATCAACAAATTGATCCATTTTTGCCCATTCCTGGGGCTACCCAAAAATATTTGTTGTAGCTGACACAGATATGATCTCAAGTGGAAGCTTTGTTCTTGATATTTCACTGTATTTCTCAGCAACTTTCAGTCATTTTTCCCTGGCAAATTAGAAAGTCTGTGTCTGTGGCTTGCTATACCTTCACTTTTATGATCATGCACTTTCTGCAGGCTCAGCAAATTATTGCTACAAATCAATCACTGAGGCAGACATAAATCAACTAGAGAGATTGCTAGGAAATGGTTTCAGCAACTGAAGCTTCCTATATTCATCCTTCAGTGTTGTTCTCTTGTTTTTTATACTGCATAACAAAGAGGGCCCACTGGTGAGCATTTCCTTCTTAATCAACTCTTCTTTCTGAGCAAAAATTGATTTATTTCCAAATAAAATTTTATCTGCTTGGAATTTCCTTTAGTTTGGCATCCCTTTATTTTCTGTTGATTCCTGAACACATTTCAAGTCTTTATTTTAAAATGTGGTATCACATTTAGGAGGATCACTCTCAATATGACACATTAACTTCCTTCCCTACTTCTTGCATTTTCAGCAAATCTATAAGGTTTATCCTATTGTTCTCAAGCAAGGCTTCAGGGTTTGGTTTTTTTCCCCAAATTCTAGATGTCTGCAGGTTTGAGTTAAGAGAGAATTATTCTGAGTGCTCTTATTGATGCCAAAGACTAAGCAGTCACACAGCTCTGACAGGCATCACTACCTCTGGAATCTGTCAAAGCCCAAGGTAACCCTTGGTAACCCCTCAGGAATTTTTTCAGTCTTTACTACAATGGTTGAGCCAACAATTTGTATAATTCACTCTTGGATATCATCTCTCATCATTAGAGCTGGTCTAGGTAGAACCACTTCAGTCTCCAGTGGCCTTTAACAAGATTCTTACAGCTCCTTTTAGCACTGGAGATTTGTTGGCAAGCTTATCTATCAGCAAGTTATCTAGATGCACACAAGTTTCCTGTTGTTATCACAACGGATGTTTTTGTTGCTTTCCTCCAAACTTTGCTTCTGAATTATGAGGGAAGTGCCCCTGAGTGAAGTTTTTTCCCTGTGACCTGCCCACGGGAGCCAGCAGAGCTCTGAGAGTGGGTGTCCGTATCTCCCTGGAGAAACAGAGAGTTTTTTCCTGTTGAGCACAAAATGTTGGAACATTAGGTTTTCTGTTTCAGAATCCCAACCACTCTGGCAGCCTTGGTCTGTTCCGGCAGTGCTCCCTTTACCCTGGTGTGGAGCAGCAGCAATGGCAGTGATAATGAGCTTCTGTGTCAGCAGATGATCTCCCAGAGCAGCAGGGATCTGTTGTTCTGCCTCGCTACCGTGTCTGGCACTTCTGTGTCTGCAGAAATTGCAGCACTCTTACTGAGCTCTGCACTTGCACTTTGTAAAGTACCTGCTTTGGTTGGTGAAGAGGATCCATTGTTCTGTCTCCCGCACCGTTGCTTAGTGATTTATCGATGTTTCTGCATTCAGTCACTGCTGCCATAGAACCACAGAATGGTTTGGGTTGGAAGGGACCTTTAAAGCTCAGCCAGTCCGCTCACCCTGCAACAAGCAGGGACATTTTCAACTGGACCACGATGCTGGGAGCAACCTGACCTCGACTGTTTCCAGGGATGTGCCATCCATTTCCTCTTGGAGCAACCTGTTACGGTGTTTCACCACCCTCATTGTAAAAAATTCTTCTTTATAGCAAACCTAAATCAGCTCTCCTTTAGTCTAAGCCTGTTCTATTCCTTGTCCTGTCTAACAGGCCCTGATAAAAAGTCTGTCCTCACCTTTCTCATAGTCCCCTTTAAAGTACTGAAAGGCCTCAATAAGGTCTCTCCAGAGGCTTCTCTTCTCCAACCTCAACAATCACAGCTCTTTCAGGTGTTCCTCACAGGAGAGGTGCTCCAAACATTTTTGTAGCCCTCCCCTGGCTCACACCAACAGGTCTACATCTCACCCATTTGGCACAATTAACAAAAAACAAAGGTCCTATATTTTCCTTATGGAAGAGAAATTTCCAAGAACACCAGCCAAAAAGTACTGCAGTCTTACTGGATTCTTTGGTCATACCCAGGTATGGAATATGATTGCAGAATTGGGCATCTCTCAGAACTTATACCAATATTTAACATGAAACTGCATGAAGATTTCCTGTAATTGTGTGGACTTTAAAGGTCTCCTGTGCTTGCTTGGAAGGGGATGGAAGGGGATGGAAGGGGATGGAAGGGGATGGAAGGGGAAGGCTCTCTATTTTTTCCACTCCACAGAGATGACATTTACATTTTGGCAATAAAACCTGTACGTGCTGTGCAGCTCATGGCAAGGAATATCACAACCATCGTGTATTCCAGAGCAGTAATAGTAGCTAAGTACAAACAGAATTTTGACAGCCAAGTATTACTTCAGGCATTGTCTTTGGGAAGATACGCCCGTGGAAAGGTTAACCCCTTGTTCCCTGGCTCATGGATCAACTACGATTTGACTCTAGCAGGAGGTGAGGCTTGCGGGCTGCCACAACCCCTGGCTGCAGGAATCTCCTCCTGCCGCGGTCACTGCGGGTCATTAGCCCGGGGTTACGAGAGCGCGGCTGGTTCGTACGGAGCATCCTGCCCGAGACACCCTGCCCGGGACACCCTGCTCGGGACACCCTGCCCGGGACACCCTGCCCGGGACACCCTGCCTGGGACACCCTGCCCGAGACACCCTGCCCGAGACACCCTGCCCGGGACACCCTGCCCGGGATACCCTGCTCGGGATACCCTGCCTGGGACACCCTGCCCGGGATACCCTGCCCGGGATACCCTGCCCGAGACACCCTGCCTGGGACACCCTGCTCGGGACACCCTGCCTGGGACACCCTGCTCGGGATACCCTGCTCGGGACACCCTGCTCGGGACACCCTGCTCGGGACACCCTGCTCGGGACACCCTGCCGCCGCCTGCCTCAGCCCCCGGCGGGGTGCGGCACGGAGCGGTAGCGATGCGCGCCCCGGGATGCGGCAATCCCGGTGTTCATTCCCGGTGTGTATTCCCGGTGTTCATCCCCGGTGTGTATTCCCGGTGTTCATTCCCGGTGTTCATTCCCGGTGTGTATTCCCGGTGTTCATCCCCGGTGTGTATTCCCGGTGTTCATTCCCGGTATGTACTCCCAGTGTTCATTCCCGGTGTTCATTCCCGGTGTTCATTCCCGGTGTTCATTCCCTGTGTGTATTCCCGGTGTTCATTCCCTGTGTGTATTCCCGGTGTTCATTCCCGGTGTTCATTCCCGGTGTTCATTCCCGGTGTTCATTCCCTGTGTGTATTCCCGGTGTTCATTCCCGGTGTTCATTCCCTGTGTGTATTCCCGGTGTTCATTCCCTGTGTGTATTCCCGGTGTTCATTCCCGGTGTTCATTCCCGGTGTTCATTCCCGGTGTTCATTCCCTGTGTGTATTCCCGGTGTTCATTCCCGGTGTTCATTCCCTGTGTGTATTCCCGGTGTTCATTCCCGGTGTTCATTCCCTGTGTGTATTCCCGGTGTTCATTCCCGGTGTTCATTCCCTGTGTGTATTCCCGGTGTTCATTCCCGGTGTTCATTCCCTGTGTGTATTCCCGGTGTTCATTCCCGGTGTTCATTCCCTGTGTGTATTCCCGGTGTTCATTCCCGGTGTTCATTCCCTGTGTGTATTCCCGGTGTTCATTCCCGGTGTTCATTCCCTGTGTGTATTCCCGGTGTTCATTCCCGGTGTTCATTCCCTGTGTGTATTCCCGGTGTTCATTCCCGGTGTTCATTCCCTGTGTGTATTCCCGGTGTTCATTCCCGGTGTTCATTCCCTGTGTGTATTCCCGGTGTTCATTCCCTGTGTGTATTCCCGGTGTTCATTCCCGGTGTTCATTCCCGGTGTTCATTCCCGGTGTTCATTCCCGGTGTTCCCGGTGCTGCCGAGCACCCCTCGCCCCGTCGAGCCGCGCGCCAAGCACTGGGGGCGTGGCCACACGAGGCCCCGCCCTCAGGCAGCGCCCATTGGTGGCAGCTCGGTGTGACCCCGCCCAGGGGCGGGGCGGCGCCGTCCGAGCAGCGGGGCCGGGACGGAGCCGCGGCCGTGGCCGGGGGTGGCACAGGGACAGCGGGGACGGCGCCATGGCCGAGAGATACGACGTGATCGTGATCGGGGGCGGCATCTCAGGTGGGCCGGCGGGGGAGCGGCGCGGCATCCCGCGGGGCATCCCACCGGGAATCCCACCGGGAATCCCACCGGGAATCCCGCCCGCAGCGCTCCCGGAGCGGGGCCGGGCGGTGGCGCGGGGGTGGCGATGGACGGGCACAGCGCCAGGGCCACGGGGGCTTCAGGAGCGCTCGGAGAAGGAGAGGGGAAACGATCCGTGTCGCTGTGTTAGGGACAAATCGCTGCTCCTGCCTCGCTGGCCGTCGGGAGGAGGCTGGAGGGAAAAGTGTCTCGGCAGAGCCCACAGGTGCGGGACACGGCAGGGGTACGGGGGCACGGGCTGGGGTTGCTCATCCCCACAAAGATGCTGTTTTGACGTGGTTTTTTCAGGTTGCCCATGCAGCGGTGGCAGTTGTTTTGTTTGGAAAAACGCTGCAGAATAAACATCTGGGAGTATCTCTAGGTTAGGTTTGGTTGCTGTGAGCTGTTCTGGAGTCAGCCCGATTCCCCAAGTGCCATGGACTCCTCACACTTCACCAGGCAGCACTTCCCAAAATACTCTTCAGATCTGCTTTGACACCAGCAATTGCATCACGGCCTCTCATCCTTGTGCTTAAAAAAAAAAAAAACCTCGTTAATTAATTATTTTTATGTTACCTACAATGAGAATGTTGCTGTGTTGGAGAAAATTGGTGTTTAGGTTGTCCCTCAGGTCAATTTTGTGTTGGCAGCTTTGGCCAGGTCTCAGGTTTTAGGCAGCCCTCACTACACTAATGATTCAGAAAAGGTGAGTTTTATGATTGTGTGACTTCAATGATGTTACAGCCATTACTGGTGTGGGCAAAGTTAGGTATTACCAGTACTGAGAGCGAGTCAGTGTAATCTGTGTATTTGTTTTTGTAATTGTAATTGTAATTTTGTAATGTAATTGGTGTAATCTGTGGTGAATTAATGCAGAAAACAGTAGATGCTTTACATAATTATGTTATTTCATTTACTAAAAGAACAGTAATTGTTTAAATAATTATTTGTGAATATGTAAAGATGCAAATAATCTTTAGCATCACTAGACAGAAAGGAAGACTTTGAATCTAGATTTCCTTGCTTTTTAGTTTTACCAGATGCCTGGTAATTTTCCTGCTAGCATGAGACATTCGGTCTTCATCCTTAGGGTTCCTGTAATGCACACACACAGTGTCCTTAGGGAATTGCCACCCATTCTGTGTGCAGCTGATGGCAACATCCTCTTAACATGGGTTTTAGAGCTCTGAGAAGCTCTTGTTCCCTTCAGGGTGCCTCGTTCCTCCAGGTCCCAAACCTGTTGCAGTGTTTCAGAAAATGCTTCGAGTATTTCTATGCGGTATCTTGCCTCACTAGTACAAAAACACGAAGTTACTTTGTAACACCTACACCTTGGACCAAAACCAAGGTGTGGGGATTGAAATGGAGCCAAGCAGAAAATTTCATGAGGTTCACAGTCCCCAAAAATTTGTCGGTGGCGTGAGAAAGGCAAATAAACATGTCACAGCACTCCTGGGGTACAGGAGCATTTTTCATGCCAATGGAAACCCTATGCCAGTGGCACTGAAATTGGTGTTTGCCTGTTATGAATTAGAACAGGCACCATTTTGAGAAAACAGACATTGAAAAATAGACAATAAATGCCTCATTTAATAATTTATCCATCTTTACACTGCCATTCATAGCTGGGGATTAAAGTCTGATCAGCCTCTGGTCTGTTTTGCTTTTCTCACAGCTTCTCTGTCACTACCATTTCTGTACCAATATGCCTACACCTCAGTTCTGCAAGAGGTTAGACAGTGCTGCTTTCTGATCTTAAAAAACAATAAAAAGTAATCTTTATCTAGAATTCTGCTTCTGATGGAGTACATAGTAAATCATGCTCCAGCATGGACAGGATTTCCTCTCAACATCTCTGACTCCAGTCTTGACTTGCTGTTTGTAACTCTGAAATTGAATTTGCAGTTGACTCATCTGGTGAGATTTCTGTCTCCTCTCCTACTGTGTTTTAAATACAGGAAAGGATAGGAAATCTGGGATAAACTATTTCTTTACTAGAAATACATGAAATCTGTATGAGGTGTAAGCAAGGTGCTTATTGAGTGTGAACTTCCCAGTAGTGACACTGTGGCTTTTAAAAATATTTGTCCACTATTTGTGAAATGAAGCTCAAATCCTGACAGGCAGCTCTGGAGTTGTCTGTTCCTCAGAGCAAAGCATGGTCCTGAGAGGCAATTTCTGAACAAAGCCTGATGGATGTTCTGCTCATCCATGCTCCTGGCACACCCCAATGTGGTCATTCCCAGGACACAGAATCCACTCTGCCTGTAGGGAACTGCAATTTAGGGGTGGAGGGAGCTTCTGCAAAAAGTGCTTTTGGAAGCAGAAGCTTTTGGAAGAACTCTCTGCTTGGGTGGCTTCTACCTCTGAGATTTTCCTGCTGTACCCCATGGAATTATAGGCAAACTGCCCAGGTTTCATCAGCAAGCGCCTTTGGATCCCTACAGAGACGGAGCTGCAGAGGTTGGGATAGATTCCTCTTTCCTCTTGGTCTTGCATGTTAAAAATGTGGATTGTGGCCAGTAAAAGCCTCAGGCACGTTTGTGTTGCTCTTAATAGATAAGGTCCCCTGTAATACAGTTAATATTGATTACAGCATTTTATACCCAAGCATATTAAATAAACTGGTGCCTGAAGTTAAAGACTTTCCCCATACCCACAGGGAATTTATATGGCTTGAATATTGCTCCCATTTTCTATTTATAGCATTTTCTACTGAACTGAAGAGTGTTGTTTTGGATTGATTTTGACTTGATTGATTTTACTTGGTTGTTTGTTTGTTGAAACCCAGCAAGCTGATGGTACAAAATGTTGTAAGGAGGTCCTGGATGCTCAGTCAGTCCTCAGGCACTGCTCAATAACAACTGGACAGCAATAAATGCACAGAGAGTTTTGAGAGAAACCTCAGATATTTCAGCTTGTCAGATCTGAAAAATGATTGCTGTGACGTGTAATTTCTGAAAGCTTTCTAACTGACCTTATTGGGGCATATTTTCACATGGATAACAAACAAAATGTGCTATGTTGACTCCAGGGTTACCTCCCTGCCAAATTTCAAGTTGCTGCTGCAGTGTCCAAAGTAGGAATTAAAAAAAGGCATGATTTTCCAAAATCAAAGAATATGTTTTCCCTAGACATTAAGAAATAGATGGTCATTTTTGACCAAGATTTTCCAGCAGAAGAGAATCACAAAAAAACCACACCCTAAAAAACACGCCCTGAAAATTCAAGCTTAAATAGTTCCAAATTTGGAAAGGCAAAAAAAAGAATGTAAGCAAAATACCTTAAGTTTTTTCATGGGAGTATATTCATGTGCCAGCCTCACCTCATGTGGAAGACAAGTTTATCAGAAGATTGCATGGGGAATTAATAATGTTTTTCTACATAATGTAAACCAGAGAGGCAGCAGATATGGAGAAGTATGTCCAGAAGCAGAGAAGTCCAAAAAATGCTGTATGCAAATATCTTTTAGAAGAAATTTCAGCACATTGTGTTACAAGTACAAAACACAAGGGAAAAAGAGATGTAATTGAATCTTACACTTAAGACAATAATTTGCTGACATGGATAGTTCTTATTTCCACTGAAAAAGATGTTTGTTCTTATGTAGAAACAAGGAGATTGTGTGGGTGCATGAAATCAGAGCTGGGATTTCCCAGCCATGTGCAGGAAACAGCGCTGCTTTCTGCTGAACTTACAGGGGAGTCCAAGGGCCACAAATTGTAGGATAACAATTGTATGTAAAAATAGTAGTGATTGGTCTTTATATAGAAATAAAACATATGATAGATTATTAAGACTTTTTTGTTTTTCTCTCTGTGGAGAAGCACTCTGTGTTGGCATCTCCAGCTCCACAGAGTGTGATCGACAGCCTTACCCCTCGAGCTACCTACGCCTTGGCTTTGGGCTCTGAGAGAAAGACTGAATAATGAGGAAATGCAGATTTTCCTTGCTTGCCATCCTGGCAGCACCACTTCTGTTGTACACTGCCCTGTTTGTTTTGACAGCGCGCCAGGCTGCTGGTGGGTGGTGGTGTCAGATAAACTGTCAAACACACAGTTGTTGGTGTGAGACAGAATCAGTCTGACCTGTGCAAATCTGGACTAGTTTTCAATAGTTTTGGGGTTTTTTCCCCTCTACTGTTACTTCTGTATTTACCTGGGATTTGACCTATAGGAATGCAACATTTGATTCATAAAATGTATTCTCCGTTCGCTTTGCATTTGTCCTGTGCTGGGTTCCACCTACCCAGTTCCTTCCTTCCTTCTTCCTGGATCCAGCCAGTGGATCATCATCATCAGTGATGATGTTGTCATTTAGTACCAGAGATTCCTAAAGACCATTTTTGGGGATGCAGAAATAAATAACAATGTTGCACAGAGCTCTGAGTTCCCAATGTACTCCTAGCAAGCTGACTGTTATTGTGAGAAAGATTTATAGCAGGGACAGAACTCCCAGAGCCCTGTACAAAGTGTAATGGATGCTCTATACAATAATTGCAAATAAGCAGAAATATCAATTTCCATTTGCCTTCTTGTTCATAATGTGTTCTGCTGTTTTGCTGCTGAAATCCTATGAGTGTTATTTGCCCCTACCAGCAAAAGAAATAGCCAAGTGCTTATGACAGATCCCTGAAAATACCCTAACATTACAAAACCAGGCATGGGACAGGCATGATGTCTTTTCTGGGAATAACTGTTATTGGTATTTGTGGTGATGACATTAATCATAATTTAGTAGCAACATTTTTTGACATACTTTTTTAGTTGAACGTCACCATTTAGATAACAGAAATTAATTCTGCACAGCACTGACTAAAAAAATTGTCAATAGTCATAAAATGTGTGTAATTACCTTGGTTGTTTCCATTACTAGGTGGCATCAAACTGTCATCATTTTAACTGCTCATTTTAATATGTAATGGGACGAAAGATGCCTCA